TTAGGGACGTGGAGAGGGGGCGGACAGCGAGGAGGGGGCACCGGCGACGACCCCACCCCATCACTGTCCTGCGCAGAGGCGAAGCCGGGCCTCGATGACGGCCAGGCTAGGAAGGAATGCAAGGTCCGGGTGAGTGCGGACGCGGGGGTCCCGGCAGCCCCGGCCCCTTCCTCGTCCTACAGGCCCCGCCCCCGCCCAGGACGCCTCTCAGGCTCCGCCCCCTCAGGTGTGCTGGAAGAGCGTGGACCGCGGCTGTCCCATGGTGGCGCTGTCGGTGCAGAGCACCGCCGAGAGCAGGTTCGGCTTCCGCTTCCTCAGCTGCCCGCCCATCATCGCGGACGCGGGCCGGCCGGTGTAAGGCCGGTGGGGAGCGGCCGTCCAGGCGACTGGCTACCCCCAGCCGTCTCGGTGACTGCAGGGCAGGGCCGTACGGGAAGAAAGCGCCGAAGGCCGGCGATGCTAGCTGCATAATTTATTGAATCAACACCGCCTCCCAAGTAAACTACATTTCTGTACCTGAGTCGAAAATGATTCCCTTGGTTTCCGGGTGTCCTGCCCCAAGAGAGGGGAACTGGCTGCCCCATCCCCGTGGGAGAACCCACAAGTCCACCAGGATGGGAGATCTGGCTGCACCCTGGTTGGCCCGGGGCAAGCGCCTCCACTCAGGACCACAGCAGCCTAAGCGTGGCTCAGAGTCCTGGGGCAGCTGGAGGGCCAGCCAGGAAATGGACGGGGCCCAGCTCCAGCCATCTCGGTCTGGGCCCAACCTTCCCTCTTCTAGGCCTGTTCCTCTTAGGAAGGCCAGGCCACATGGAAGGAGTGGGTAGCTGGGCCAGCAGTAGGGCGCTGGGCTGTCCTGTCCTGGGCTCTCCCTCTGCCCACCCCCTGGCAGTCCCAACTCCTGACTTTACTCCACCAAGAGGACCCTCTCCTGTGCCAGGTCCACTCCCCACCCCCTCCAGCACACTTGCCCAGATGCTCTGCAAGCTGTGAGGCTAGAGATCAAGTGGGTGCTCCCATGACCACAGTGGGACCTCTTGACCAGCTCCCAGGCCAGCCTGGCAGTAGGTGGGAGTTTCCAGTGCGGGTGGGATTGGGCCGGGCTGATGAGGTTCAGGTGCGACACGCACTGGAGGCTGGGGGTCTGGCTGCTGGATCTGGTGCTGGCTTAGGGCCTGGACGTCCTTTGGCTGAAGGGCTGGAGCCTGAAGCCACCTCCAGCGCTCTCAGAGCACTCATTGCAGCCAGCCCCCGACCCAGGCCAAGCCCCCCACTCTGTCCAGGCCCCAAGCTACCCAGGGCTCTGAGCCGACGCCCCCTGGAACTGCAGATCTGTGGACCCCAAGGAGCTGCTGCCCCTGTCAGGTGACATGAGGGACTTGGGGGGAGAGGGGATCAGGTTGTACCCCACGGTCCTGGAAGGCTCTGGAAAACAAGGAAAGAGACAGCATGTCAGACAAGAGGCCCCGGGGAATCATAATAGGGGTGGCCAGAGGGCTGCAGTGTCTGCTGTGGCTCCTCCCTTAGGCCTTCACTCCCCTTCCCAAGGCAGCACCCTTGCCCCACTTCCTGTACTCCCCAGAGAAGTTGTGGCCCTCAGCCCTGTGACCTCTGACCTTTGCTTGAGCTGGACCCACCTCTGGGGAGGCAGAGGCCACAAGGTTGGGCTCTGGCTTTGGGTCACTGGGCCCCATCCCCAAGGGTGTGCTCATGGGCTGGTGGCCCTGGGCCAGTTCCCAAACGTCTCCTATAGAGAATGAGGCCCTGGTACCCACCTGAGGGCAGGCGAGGTAGGTATGGCCATGGTCACCCAGTGCCCACCTGGACCTGGACTGCAGTAGGAGGCCCTGGTGCCCCTCGTCCCTCACTGGCTGTCACTACTTCAGCCACGCCTCCTCCTGGCTGCCTGTTGGCTCACCCTCCACCCTCCACAGGGTAGCTGGCTGTGGACCCCTCTCAACCAGCTGTTCTCGGGGCCCCCTTTCTCCAGCCCGGCCCCAAGGCACCAGGCGGCACATGGATGTGCAGAGCTTGGGCCTGTCCCTGCTCCATCCTGGCCCCCTGACGCCCCCCTCCACAGGTTGGTCATTTGGCCAAGCCTTCAGCCTACACTCCTGCTGCCCCTGCTTACAAAGACCTCCCCAGGTTTGCCAACCCAGCTGTTCTGACAGTCAGGTCAGACCCTTCCTCCAGGAAGCCTCCCTGGGCCCCACTGGGTGAGGGGTCTCTCTGCCTCACAGCCCCTGCACTTGCTCCACTCAGCCATGGTCACTCTGAAGCCAGTGTCCCTGAGGGACAGCCTCACCTGGCTTAATTCTGTGTTCCAAGCTGGGCCCAGACCCCGTCTGCAGGAGAAGGGTGGCCCCTCTGCCTTGGTCTCCTGCCCACCTGGCGGCCTCCTTCCCTTTGCTGGCCTTCTGTCCCACCCAAGAACTTCCCAGTGGGCCTGTCCTGGGCCCTCGTGGCACCCTCTTTCAGTCCGGGCCCCTCTGGCCTCTGCTTACATTGCCCTTCTCCAGAGAGCCCTCTCCCTCCCTCTCTGTGACCCAGCCCTGGTGGCCTAGTAGTGGCCTTGTGGTCCCATGGCTCAGAGGAGGAGGACTTGGCATTGGAATCCCTTGGCTGTGCGCCTCCACCCCCAAGAGAGGCCCTCCCTGTAACACCTGTGTCAGAGCCTGGCTAGCGAGGCACTGAGTTAGTGCAGCTGGTCTGAAGGGTGTGAGGTCACTCTGGGTACCTGTGCCCAGGCTTGAGGGGCGAGGGGGAGTCTTGGGCCCAGCCTTGTTCTCTTGTTCTTCAGGGCCCCTCTGTGGGCCCCCAGGAACTGTGGCCCCTGCCTTCTGGGACTCCAGGCACCTATGGGGGAGAGGTCTGGGGTGCGGGGAGGGGTAAAGGCTGCAGCCCTGCCCTCCTTTGGAGCCAATTCCAAGTGAGTGTGACTCTGGGATGGTCCCTTGTCTTAGGCTCCCATGACCAGCCCCTCCAGCCACCTGGGGGACCAGGGACCACTTAGCCAAAGCAGGTTCCAGCCATGAGCCCCGACCAGACAGGACACATGAGGTAGTGGGGCTGGGGTGGGGATGGTGAGGAGCACCCACCGCATACACAGCCCCCTCAAAGCCTGAAGCCTGGCCAGGTGGTCACAACTGTCTGCAGGGTCAGGTGCTGGGCTGGAAGCCCTGGTGGCTAGGCCTTCTGGCCTGCATGGGGGCAGCTTCTCTGGGTGCACCCGGGCCTGGGAAGGGAAAGAGCTGGTTTAGGGGCACTGCCTTTGAGGAGGCTGGTGGGCAGTGGCTTGGAGGTAGAAGGCCTTATTCAGCTGTAGAGGGTGTGAGGAGCTGGGGGCCCAGGCCCAGGATGCTGGCCCACTGCGGAGGCAGGGTGTACCTGGCCCTGGTGCCGGTGTTCCTGCAGGCCTTTGCTGGGGTTCCCGCAGAGGACTCGGCCGGTGCCTGGAGAAGAGGGTGTGGCTAGTCCTGGCCTGGGGCCGAGGGGCTCCAGGGTCAGCTTTGGGCCCAGGTGGGTCAGATACCGTGGGTAAGGTTGCTGGCATGGTCCTCTGGGGCCTCGCTCTTGGGAAGAAGGTCTTCAGGCAGGGGACCCCCAGGGACCAGCAGAGAGAGGGGCCAGGGCCTCGGGGCCCAGGGCTGGATCTCAGGCAGGCACGGCTCAGGGCCGAGTCTTCGACTGGGGGATCCGTAGGGATGATCTGCCCAAGGGAGAAAATCAAAGGTCGCCAAGGCCCACACCAGCTGGCCAGCCCGGGAGCCCCCAGCTGACCTCTGTCCACAGAGCAGGGACTCTGCCACCCAGCATCTGTGTGCCCCAAGCCCAGTGCCATGGAGCAGCAGGTTCAGCCTTCCTTT